CTAGAAGGTCAGAGAACTGACATACTTGCTGGAACCGATCTGATGGTTATTTGAATAGGAATAGAAAAAGCAATCAGGTTTCCACAGCTCAATGAGCAAATACCTGATAAGGAAATGGAAATTTTGAGTATAAGCAACAGATAAGTTTGATGCTTGCTAGATATTCTTATTCTCTTGTAAATGTTCTACTTCTCCCTTTTTCTTTTTGCATTTGGGTTATATTAATATACAATGTTATGTATTAAGGGGTTGTTTTTGAGAGCCATGCCTATTGAAAGGCAGCTATATGTCCAATGCCTCAGTGGTAGCTATTTACTACAGATTATTTGGGGGGCATGTTGTACCTCCTGTTGTTAGTATAATCTTGGTATTAACTGAAGTTCCCCAAATTATATAACGCACTCTGACGTTAGCTTAGTTGTGCCGATCTTACATAGTCACCTAATGAATAAATATGCATTTGTTGTTTTCATTATGTTCTCATGATTAATATCATAAGAACTGGTAACAACAGGACTGGTGAGATGAGTTAGCAGCAAGTGGCTACCAAGTTCAGTTCCCAGAATCAGGGGATTCATTGTCTCTGACCTCTGTGGGCACTTCCATGTCTGTATGTGTTTATGTCACACACACACACGTACACACACACACACACACACACACACACACACACACAAACACTTAAAAATAAAATAAACCTTACAAATGGCACTGTAACAGAACTTTCACTGTTAATCATTAGAGATAAATAATTTTTAGATACAAAAAGTGTTTTTAAAGTTTTTATAAAAGAACTACAAGAAAGCCAAAGGTTTATGATATTTCTTGAAAGTAATATCTCCCAAAACATAGATTTATTACTATTTTGTAAATAATTCAGTGATATCAAGTGATTGATCTTGCATTGACTTCAGCAAATTCATCTTATGGACTAGATAATGTGGCATGTACAACTGGAATAATGGTAAGGAACTGTAACCGTAGAGATGTTGGCTTCCCTCAAGAGTAGAGCAAAACGGGCTTAGGGCTCTCAACTCTGATAAGATGACTTAGATAAAAAGATTTCTAGAAACATTTACAAAATCATTAAGCATATATTATTTTTAGCAATAATGTGAACTTTAGCATACCTTTAGAGTAAGCCTTTAGAGCAACTCTTTTCTATTATTGTAAGTTTCTATTTGTTCAAAGTATCTTAGAAGCACCCTCTAACACTTCATGGATAATTTGCATAAATTAACCATGTGTTAGGAAAACCAAAGATCTCTGTTAAAAACAGAAGATAGTGAATAATAAGCTCATTTTTTATTTATTTGGATAAACACTATTTCTTGGTTCATTTAAGCATTTCTTTCAGTAATTATGAATTTTGGTATGTGTCTGAATCTAAAGAACATAAAGTATTCTTTGCTGTGACTTTGTTTTGGGGCAGCTACACGAAACATATGAAATTGTCTTTTCAATGTTTATCAGGGAGAATAAGTGAACTGAATATTACAAAGTTATTCAAGTATTCTGCTCAAACTAGGTCATGTACCCTGTGATCATCCTTTACTATATTTAAAAAAAACTTCCTAGAATTTCTTACTTCATTTCAAATTACATGCCTAGAAAACAAGAAGAAATTATTTCTTATATCTCCCTAAATCAAGTGCTGCATACAATAACTACACAGAAATCACATTTTCTTGTATTATCTGTTCTCTTAGTGATTTTCTACATCTGACATTCTCAACTGACACACAGGTAATGAAGGATTTGCTGTGTGTTTTCATGCAACACACGTGGTATTAGTAAGTGCTAGATTCTAACAGTCTAAAGGCAATCCTGATCTAACTATCACTACCAGCTTCACAGCTAACCACTAGATAGATAGGATAGCTTAGAGGCTCGGAGGAGCACTAGTTCCGATCAGACTGAAGTGCTTTGTATCTTTACTTCCTGGCATGATTTTGGAAAAGTTTGGCATTTTAAAAGATATGTGTTGTAGTCAAATGTTTTATTGCAGAATGCAAATTTGAAGAAGACGGTAGAGAAATACAACTTGGTAGTGGCCAGCAATTCTACCTTGAGTTTGGGGCCTGGGTATCAAGATGACAGTGATGTCAGGGAAGTGGCCTTCAGGCAATAAAACAGGCTTTCAGGAAGTTTTAATAATGCAATAAATAGCACACATCAGTAGAAAGTTAAAACCTGTGATCTCACATTCAAGTCTTTGGTGGAGTCCTTTACAGAATGGAAATATAAAGCAATCAATTCTACTGGCACAGAATGACTTCAAAGACACACCATTCCTTTTACTGAATAGGTGTGTGTCCGTGACTGTCAGTTGCTTATCAAGGGAATAACCCTTTTCAAGTCTGAGTTTTCTAAGAGTCACAGGAGCCTTGCAAACATTTGCTGCAGCTCATGGAAAGCTACAAGTCTATGTCAAAGTTCATTCTCCTTCCATGCTCAGGGGATCTTTTAATTTTCATTAAAAAAAAACCAGATTGAAGTGAGTATGCCTTCCATTCAGAAAGGTATCATATAAGCCAGTTTGTATTATACTATGACAGAGAACATTCACCTTGAAACAACCGTTGTTTGAGTTACATCAGGGATGTTTCACCTTTTCACATACCATATGATGCTAATTGTCATTTACATAAACACTGAGCCCCACACACAGCTATCCTGGGATGCATGAAACCTGACAGCCACCGGTTGGATATGCCTGGTGACATATTCTTTTATTAATGAGAATCAATTGAAGATAATTTAATTTTATGGTTATTTTTTAATAAAGCATTAATTATTCCAGAAACTGTGCATTCTGTGAAAATATATTGTTAGTAATGATGTCAGCTACATGCTGCAGTACATCCATGCAATTGTAACCTGAGAAGTCATGATGCTCTTGCAAAGCTGTATGGTAGGACCGCAAACATTACAGGGTCAGTTCTCCCAGTCTGTGTTTGATAAGATATCATTGTTGGAAAAGTCCATGAAGTGGCAAAGAGAATTTTAATGTGTTGTCCTCTTTGACCAAAAAATGATCTCAAATAGGGTTTTCTTTACGTCTATAGTTTTAAAATAAATCATCTGCTCAAATAAGAACATTCTTTTGAATAACAGTTTAAACAAGAGATTTGCAACACATGAACTTTCAGAGTACACTTTAATTTCATAACAGATTGTTGTGTTTTGTTTACAGGCAGTTTTATAATGCTCCCTATGAAATAAATAAAAAGAATAAGTAATAAAGTCATATTATTTCAAGTCATTCAATAAAGTGGAGTAGCTCTGCATGATCAGTTAAGACAATGCCAAAGCTGTCTAAGAAATGTTGACTAGATAAAACGGAAAAATAAATTGTTTCCTTCTCGGAAACCAATTTTACACACACTCGAATTTCCATCAAATTGTATGTTGCCTTGTTAGCACTTCAAAAGGATTATGATCATTCTGTGGCGTTATATGCCAAAACCTCTTCCTCTATTACAACGTTAAAAACTCACACATAAGAAATTTGTTTAAATATAAACCAGAGCAAAGCAGCAAAGGATGATGTGTGAACCTAAGGAAGTATTCACTTCTGTCTCTATGGGGCAAGGTGAAGGGGGATTTCATCTTCCCAAACTTTGGGCTGATTTTGTTCAGTCTTTGCAATCACTTTCATCCCCAGCAGAAACGTGTGGAAGATCAGAGCCAGAGGGAAAGGGATGATACACTACTGAAGACCTTTAAAAAGTGCATTTATTTATCCTACTTAGAGACATCCATCCACTGCTCCTCCAGGTTAGCCTTGTGGGCCTGACATGAGAAAGGGTATATAGCTTTACACTATTTAAAAACCTCTTTGTTTAATATTTCAAATATTCAAGTATTTTTTCCTCATTATGATAGCTGAGTGTAGCAATAGCATTTATAATATGCTTGTTAATGTAAGGAGGCAATCTTTTTACAGAATCTTGAGACTGCTAAAATAGGCATTAAGCCCATGCAAGTGTCAATCACTAAGTCAAATGTAGGATCACCTGGTTGTAGGCTGTGTCAAATTTAAATGTTACCAGCTTTCACAACAGGGGGGTTCATCAGTGTTTCCAAAACCTGCATATTTCCTAGTGTTCTATAAGGAAAAACAAAGGCATGGGGAATCTGTAAAAACTTGAATATAATTACAAATACTTGAGGTTTAATAAGCTTTTAATTACTTAAGTATTTCAGAATTCCCACCTTAGGTGAAGAGCATTTTCTATCTATCTATCTATCTATCTATCTATCTATCTATCTATCTATCTATCTATCTCTATATTAAAGAGCCATGAAGTAATGCATCTTATTTTGTAACCACCTATCCTTTGGACCTAATGTTTTATATACTCTGAAAATTCATTATACCCTTCCAGGTACACAAATCTTCCTTGGATTACTAGACGTTAAATCTACCTATGTAGATTCCCTTGTCATGGAAACTGACAAGACTTTTAGTAAGATCTTGCTGCTTCTGATGGACCCTGGAAGGGAGGACAGGAGAGTGCTGACTTTGGGGCAGGTTTAGAGAGCAGAGAATGATTAAGACCAAGACTCTGGAAAACATGGCAGGGGGATGGGAGACTCCTTGTGGGGTTTTGTTTTGTTTTGTTTTGTTTTGTTTCCTTAAACCAGCATAGTGACTGACTGACAGAGAAAAGGGAGATAAAAAAAAATAATTTTCTGCGGAGCAGAAATTCTAAACAATACTTCCGTTATTCTAGCTGATTGCTTACTTGGAATGAGAGATTTCACGGTAGTCATTTATCTCTGCGGTTTCTCTAGATGCCCTATCCCAGGTAGATGGGGCTGGAGTGCACAGGTCATGGGAGGGGAAACTGGTTAGTAGTTCCTTCACTTTTAAAGCTCCCTCGGGTCATTATTTCTTTTGCAACCATACCGACTGCTTGTCCCGTTTTGCTCCCCTTGCCCTGGTCCACCCCCTGCCCTCCCCCTGCCCCATTCTCCTGCCTTCTTCCTCTCACCTGTCCACTGCAATGGCTGTCATAGAGTAGATGCTGGCAAACACCGCTGTGATGGGAAAGAAGTTCTGGAAGCGGCAGTAGTTGGCGCCAAAGTACCATTCGCTGTGAAGAGCATAGATGAAATTGACCAAGGTGTTGAAGGCAGCCATGGAGGCGTCGGAGAAAGCCAGGTTTACCAGGAAATAGTTGGTGACGGTCCTCATGCGCTTGTGGGCCAGGATGATCCAGATAACGATGAGGTTTCCAAAGACTGCCACAGCCACCACCAAGCCATAGGCCAGAGACCAGAGTGCGATCCGCCAGGACGGCTGCACGAACTGGTTCGTGAGGTTGGCCCGGACCTGGGAAGGTGCTTGGGATGTCATCGGCAACCCCAGAGCCGAAGAGAAGTTGCCAGCCTGGAGCGCAAGCCACTCAGTGACCGCCAAGCCAGCGCTCAGGTTCTCTGCCTGCGTTTCCATGCCTGCCGCCCCGTCGGTCCAGCTCTCGGCGGTGGGGACTGAGGCCATGGCCAGAGTCTGCAGCCCGGGACCTGCCACACTCCCGCTGCCAGCCGGAGCCGGCTCCCCTGAAGTTCTCAGCGGTCTCGGGTACTGCCTGGAAGCAAGTAGGAAGGTACCCGTTGTTGGGATGCTGTGATGGGACAGAAGATGCGGAGCAGGGGCCACACTTAGTCCTGGGGGTTTGCGTCTCTGGCTGGCAGGGAAGAACCAGGGACTGTTTCAGCTTGGGTCCTGCCAGGGAGGAGCTACCAGGCAGCAGCTCGAGAGCTGAGATCTGCTCTGAAGGCGCGCTTTATAGTCTCCAGGAGTCCCCAGGATCCGTGACGTCGTGGGTCGCAAGACTGACGAACACCCCACCCCCACCCCTCTGCAAGCTCCTGCTCTAGACTCGCTTCTCCAGCCCACACTCAGGGTTCCATTCATTCTCTGCTCCTCTTCAGGCGGCTGCCGGCTGATGGCACAGGAAAGACATGCTTTGTCCCCAGCATCAAATCTTACCAAAATTGTCTTCCCGCTTTTAACTTTAGGATTTTGCTCTCAGAGTTTTTCAGTGAGATGTACTTTCCCGAGAAACAACTAACAGTTCACAAGTAGAAGGCAAGATGACAGGTAAATGTGGGGAGAGTGAGGAGGAAATCACTCAGCAGCAGGCAGCCGGTACAGACGACTATACTCTGTGTTGTCGGCTTCGCGATTTAAGTCAGCATTTGAGTCCTGTTTATATTTTCAGTCTGAGATTCCTTTTCTCGCTCCCACTTTCAAGCTCCATTCATTTGTCCACCACTTCCTTTCTTCTAACCCTCATTACTGGAAATCTGCTCCCTCTGCTTTGTTCTCCTCAGACGGACCCCCCTCCCCTTCTTGCCAGGATTCTTTTTACATTAGAATGTCCCAGAACTCAGAATGTAAACCAGGAACGTAAAGGTTCATAAAACAAACCGATACTGTGTAGGTCGTCTTTCGTCCACCCCCTGGTCAAATGCACCAACTGAACGATGTGAGTGTGCACACGCGTTTATGTGTCTCCACTTAGCTGAGAGGCATGAATGTGAACACGTGTTTATATGGCTTCTCTGAGCGATGTGAGTGTGCACACGTCTTTAAGTGGCTCCACTGAGCAATATGAGGGTGCACACGTCTTTAAGTGGCTCCACTGACCAATGTATGTGTGCGCGCATGTGTTTATGTTTCTCCAGAAGTTTGTGCTCAAACCTTAAACTTTACTTTCCAAGCAGACCGACTGGCCTGACTTCAGAGCAAGGTGAGCCCGGTGAAATGAGAGTGCTTTGTGGAGCAGAGATCACAGACACTGGTCTGCAATTGCGTGGACACCACAGGCAATTTTTCAGATGGCTCTCAGGCAAAACTCCCTTAATTAATCTTCGGGCAGATGTACAAGGACTCAGGGATAAACATTTTCTTAATTTTCCATATACTTACCCCTCTGAAATTTAGTTTCCAATGTGTCCATTGAAAACCATCTTCTATCTCCAGGATGTGTGAGATTTCATTAGGTTTCCTTCCACACAGTGTAGAAGGAAATCCTGGATCCATGGTAGTGGCTTTTTTTGTAATCACCACATGTTGTATCCCACGTTTTCAGGTGAAACAGACTGAAAAAAAGTAGAGTCAATGGAAGCTGGCCTGGAGGCATTCTGCGTTTTTACATGTTGTTCAAAAGCCTGGTGTGATTATTGCACAAAAGGACAACTGAGCATGAAACATGGGTTTAGCCAACCTGGTAACCATTATATTGACAAAACCATCTTTCAAAACAAATACATGGGGGACAGGATAGTTATCAAGTATTAATACTTCTTCTCAGAGTATTAATAGGTAAGACTATTAAAGATTTCACACTCCCTGCTTAATAGAATTAGAAGAAAATAAAATGAAAAGGATTTAAAAGAGTTTCTTTTTTTCTCAAAGGGAGCAATTCCAGTCAAGACTTTTCTTCCTAGATCTTTTCTCTCTGCATCTCAATAGGTGGTTGTTTGTCGTATTTCTTGGGTAGTTATTGATGGTACTTCCTCCCACATGCCATGTCAGGTGCGGGGAATGTAGCAAGAAGGCAGCCAGCTATAATGGAGCCTGAAGTCTAGCAGTGCATTCTTTCTCTAAAGAAAAGGAAGGTACAGAAAACTATTGGACTGTTTAATAATGTGGAAGGGTGCTGAAACCACAGGTCTCTTTAGGATTCTTTCAATCTTAGTATATTAGTTTGTGAGGTTGGAGCAAATTCTTGAAATACAGAATATCTTAGTGTATGCAGACACACATAATACACACACACACACACACATTTGAAAAGTAAAGCTTATGATACAGTAGTTAAGAGTGATTTCCTGATTAAGTGATTAAGGGATTTTGGACAACAGTTTACCCAAATAGTCAGATTCGGAATCTTACTGTTATTCCAACCTCCTCACAGGTTTTTTTTTAATATAGTATTCTTTTTCTCTTTGTATTACCATAAGAACTTCAAAAGTCATAGCCTTTAAAGAATGAACAAAAACACAAGGTACGTGGTAGAACATCAGAAGCAAACTTTTGAGCAGGACTGGAATTTAAAACCTTTGAGTGTGTATGCACGACAAGTGAGTACCTCATACCATGACGAGATATGGAGGACGTTGGAAAATGTAGCCAGGGTGGGAGACAGCTCAGCTTGAAATGTTGATATGTTTTACATGCTCACAAACTAAAATTACTTAATTATGTAAGTAGAATAAAATTTTCTATCATTTATGTGAATATTTGTTACTACTACTACTGGTCAAAAAGCTCTTATGCATTTTATTATAAGGTCTTATATGTAGATTATATTTTTCTCCACTTTATTTGCTAGCCACATTTGCTTAGGATATACAATGGACATGAGCTCTAGCTATTTGTTAGCCACATATGAAGGAGAATGAGCACTTGTCATGCGTTATTGTTATGGGAATGTTTATTTGAGCAGGCTTTCCCAAAATAAGTATAATAAGATGGTATTTCAGGTAAGGCTGCTGTCTGGTGGAGCAACTGCTGTTTGGAAAGGAGAATTTGTCTAAGCTGCAGATTTATGTCTCTGACAATAACCTTCTGTTTGACAGCCTTCGCAGAGAACTCCTTTTCAGTACACTCAGCTTATTATCACTATGTTGAAATATTTTTCTTATCAATTTCAGATCCTCATCATCCTTTGGCCCTGGATTTACATGTTTTTCTTTGCAATTTCAACAGAACTGCTTTGTAATCATAGCAATCCATTTCTAGATTTGGAGTTCTGGGCTGTTACCATCAAGCCAGTGAATGCTATTTGTAGCAAATGTGGTGGTTTGAATGAGATATTTCCCATATCATGAGATAATTCCCATATCATGAGATATTTCCCATATCCTTAGGCATCTGCATCTTTAACTCTTAGTTGTTGTCTGTTTGGGAAGGCTAAGAAGTATGGCCTTGCTGGAGGAACTATACTGCTGGGGTCTGGTTTTAAAGTTTCAAAAGTCATGTGCTCTTTCCATTGCACTCTCTCAGTTTCCTGTTTGTGTTTCAAAATGTGAGCACTCAGCTCTCAAATTTCAGCTCCCACCTCAATGTCTGCTGCTTGTTTACCTCATTATGGACCTAACCCTCTGGAACTGTATTCCCAAAATCAACTCTTTCTTCTGTAAGTTGACTTGGCTGTGGTGCTTTATCACAGTACAAGAATAGCAACAAAGATGGTCAGTCAATCAATACAGCTCCTTTCATTTGTGCAGACAGATGCTCCTTAAAATTTTTTTCTAGTTACCATATTAATCATCTGTTTAAAACTGAAATTTGCAGATAAATGAATGGAGCTAGGAAAAATCATACTGAGGGAGGTAAACCTGCCCAGAAAGACAAATATGTTATGTATTTACTTATATGTGGATGTTAGCTGTTAAGTCATTGATAAACATGCTACAATCTGTATAACTACAGAAGTTAGGCATAGAGTAAGGACTAGATAAAAGAGATGGGCCTCTCTAGGAAGGATAAATATAAAAGATAGTTATGGATAGATGAAGAAGGGTGGAGTGGCACGATTAGAGATGGGGAAAAGAAAGGGGGTTGGGGAGTGAATGTGGGGAGGAAAAACTAAAATTAAGGGCCAGTTGAGGGGTTACATGGAAACCCAATACAGTCGAAGATTCCTAAAATATATACATATATGAAGACATCTAAATGATATAAACAAAAAAGAAATGTGGGAGACAGAGCCTTCCCTGATCATCTCTTTTCATCATATGATGCTTCCACTACCAGGAGTGGGTTACATCTAATCTAGTTGTTGACCAAAGGGGTCCTATTGGAACTCCCAACAATCCAGGCAATTTCCAAGGCTATTGACTGCTCTCCACAAACTCTTGGTAGGGCTCATTTCTGAAGACAACACTACAACACCTGTACAACTCATTGAACACAGAGAAGTTGAGCTGGTGCCTACATAGAGCCTTCAACTCTATGTATTATTTGTACTATTGTTCAGTACATAGTACTGGAAAATGCTCTGCAAGCTACCAAAGGAAAAATGTTAGCACCAACCCAGCTACCCTTCAATGTACATGGTAACATGCCTGCAAAATACGCTGGGGTAATAGTGGCACAAAGATTGTGGGAATAACAAACCAATATCTAATTAGACTTAACGACCAGTTCATGAGCTAGAACCCATACCTAGTCCTACTTGGGTAGCCAAGAACCCTGAGACTAGACAGGCTAGTAACCTAGGGTAAAACCAGATATTGCTGTTCTGCTAAAGGAGCATAGCAATAAAATGACCCCTAATAACAATCTGCTATACTCATAGAGAAATACCTTGCTCAGCCATCATCAGAGAAGCTTTCTCCTGCAGTAGACAAAACCTAAGACTGAGACCCACAGCTGAAAAAAAGGTGCCAAGAATGAGAGACCTTGGTGCACTCAGCCCTAAGAGGTTGTCTCCATCAATCCCTCCCTTTAGGGTTCAAGCAACTCTGCAGAAAAGGAGGCAGAAAGAGCGTTAGAAGAGCTAAGAAAATAGAGGACATCAAGGAATCAAGACATTCTAGATCCAGAAGAGCTGAGGACTCGCAGAGACTGGGGCAGCATGCACAGGGCCTGCGTGGGTCTGCACCAGATAGGGTCCTAGAGCTGAGGGGAAATGGGAACACTCTCACCCACCCCGATCCAAAATCTATCCCCAAATGGTAACCACTTGTAAATGAAATATTAGTTTTCTCCGAGGAAGTCTCT